GCACTGGCATTTACTCCCGTCTGCCGGCTGCCCCAGCCCCTCTCCCCCGTCCGCTGGCTGCCCCAGCCCTTCTCAGGACAATGGAAACTTGCCTGACTCCCCACACAGACTACCACCTGCTGATGTGGTAGGGACACTGCAGGCTGGTCTCTGCCCCTTTAACAGAGCCAGACTAGGCCAGGGTGTCTCTTGTGTGAAGTCAGCACTGGAGCCTCCTGCTTCCCTGTTCCCTGCCCTGGCCCTGGCCGAGAAGCCCTTGTCCGTGTGGTTGGAGGGACATCTGTGTGCTTGAGACGCAGGCTGCCTAGTGTAGTTGACACGTGGAGTCTGGACTCTGTGTTCATGACGCTGAGCTGGCATGGTCCACATGTGTGGTCCGTTGTGGACTTGGGCACTGGGCATGTCTCTCTGCAAGGCTACACTCCACCTCCAGACTGGCCACAGCGCCGCTTTGGACCTGGCCACAGCCTGGTAGGCAGCACAGAGGGATACGTCTGACTGAGCCCAGCGCCCGCAGTCGGCCTCCCTGCCTCCGTTGCTGTCTAGGAGCTCCGGCTGGTCCTTTTGTTGCCCCATCTCATGGTCTTGGTTCCTCAGCACAGGTTTGGTGCCTCCTTCAGAGCGGGCCAGGTCAGAGGCCCCCTCCCCAGTCTGGCCCCGCCGGGAGGGGCCTCGGTGGCCGCAGGCTCCCAGGAGTGGCTCCTCGGCCTTGTGCTTTGCACAGCTCTGTGCGTTGTCTGGTGGTCTTGGTCACGTTGTCACACGTGGCCGCCACGTTCCTCACAGATCGCCGCTGTGTCAGCTGTCATTCACGTCCAGTGACTGGCTTCACCAGCCCTCATCTCAGAGTCCTGGCCTGTTTGCTGACACTGACTTTCTTTCAGGCCAAGCTGGCGAAGAACTACGGAATGACCCGTATGGACCCATACTGCCGTATACGCCTGGGCTATGCCGTGTACGAGACCCCCACGGCGCACAATGGCGCCAAGAACCCGCGCTGGAATAAGGTCATCCAGTGCACGGTGCCCCCGGGCGTGGACTCCTTCTACCTGGAGATCTTTGATGAGGTGAGCGCAGTTCCCTGGTGGCGTGGTTACACGCTCATGGACTGTGCCACACCCTTCCAGTTGACATTTCATTGGTCGTGTTCTGGGAGGACCAGTCCCCAGCTGTTTTGAACAAGGCATGTCCTCTCCAGTCTGCTGGCCCCCTTCTGTTTGGGAGTATCGGCTTCAACAGTGGTAACACTACGTGCTCTGTGCGTCCCCACCCCCACACCCCCACCTGGGCACCTACCTGTCGTCCCAGTGGTAACAGCACAGTCCTCTGTGAGACCTGATGTTTACATGCTACCATGTCCAGACACACACGTCATTACCCACAGCAGGGACGTGCCCTGTCCTGTGAGGTGTGGTCTTTATCTGAGCCCTCAGGCAGCACACACCACCCACAGCAGAGGTGTAGCATCCATGAGGTGTGGCTCCTGCACAGTCATCTCCTGTCCCCTTGTTGTCACCACCATAGAGATACACAGCATCGTGAGGGACTTGTGTTAATAGACCTGCCCTTTCTAGCCGTGAGTCGGTATGCATGCCAGTGGTGGCCCCAACAGGGAGCATGCCGTAGACCCTCATGGCCACAAGCACCCTGTGTGTCTGCCAGTCAGCTGTCACCAGGGAGAACATAAAGCGCGCTGTGGGAGCACTGCTTTGGTTGAGTCCCAGGTGTGGCTTGCTGCAGCTGGTGCTGTGTGACGTCCCTGGAGAGAAGATCCTCTGAGGTCTGAACAAAGCAGAGAGGGCCTTGCTGGGGTCTTGTCTGACTGACAAGCACGTGCCCCTTCCCAGGTGGGGTGCCACGCAGTCCTGGGGCCAGAGCCAGTGTGCAGGCTTGATGAGGATGGGGGACTGTGCTCTGTAGAGGGGCCTTGTAGGAGTGAGGGGCTGTGGTCTGCAGAGGGGTTGTGCCCAGGGGCAAGGGACTGTCATCTTCAGAGGGGGGCTTACAGAGATGAGGGGCCACAGTCTGCAGAGGGGATTTACCAGGGTGAGGGGTTGTGGTCTGTAGAGGCCACTTAACAGTGTAAGGGGCTATGGCCTGTAGAGGGGACATACAGGGATGAGGCGCTGTGCTCTGCAGAGGGGACTTACAGGATGAGGTTCTGCAGAAGGGGCTTACAGGGATGAGGGACTGTGGCTTACAGAGAGGACCTGAAGGGGGGGAGGGGGGCTGTGGTCTGTAGAGAGGGCCTGCAGAGGGGACCTGAAGGGGAGGGGGGCTGTGGTCTGTAGAGAGGGCCTGCAGAGGGGACCTG